ATGACTTCTCAAACAACAGTAACAACTGACGACTTTGGTGTAACTAGAGACGGACGCAAAGTTACTAGGTGATTCCTGTCCGTCAGCGTCTAAATAGATATATTAATTGATATATTTTTTCTTACGTTTAGTTTAACTGAAACTTAAATTTACAAAATTAATTAATTAATTAATTAATTAATTAATTAATTAATTAAAAGTCTCTTTTACCTTTCAAAAGTGTCTTTCTTTTTTTTTGGAAGGGGGGGGGGGGGGGGGGGGCGTTTCGCTTCGTTTGCTTAATTTTAGTTTGACTGTTTGTGTTTGGATTATGTTATACACACACCTAGAAACACAGAGCGAGTACTGACGCATAGCACACATCTGAGAATATTCACACATTTTCTGCAACCAACTGTAATCTCCGGTGGAAGGTTATGGTTGTTCGTCCATTTATTGAATTTGACCTTGTTCCAGAACTAGACTTTTGCGTGCACATTCGTTTTATATACATGGTTGATTTGTTTTCAGACTGTTAGTTCCTCCCTTTACATGCAGATGCACTCCGACTTTGAAAGAACTCCTTTAGCACTCACCTGTGGATCTGAAAGTCGAGGGTTCAAATCCGAACGGAGCCAGATTGCTTTTTTCTAAAAGACCTTGACTCCCAGGTTGACCCACCCTTAAATGGCTACCAGGTAAAGTCCTGGGAAGTAAATGCGGTCAGCTTGATGTTAAATATTTAACCCACCTAATGCCGATTTGTCTGAAGATTTAGGTCTATCACTATACACCTGAAGGTATGGAACAGTCTCCTTGAATGTTACTTACTTGTGACCTACGACACGATGAGTTAAGTAAACTCTGAGACAGCGTCGGTTAATGTATCCACTAGACGAGATACAAGGAAATAATAAAAGCCGAAATAATAAAAGCACGTAATCAAAATAGTAACCAGTAAACACACAGTGCGCTGCTGAGTAACCAGTAAACACACAGTGCGCTGCTCAGTAACCAGTAAACACACAGTGCGCTGCTCAGTAACCAGTAAACATACAGTGCGCTGCTCAGTAACCAGTAAACACACAGTGCGCTGCTCAGTAACCAGTAAACACACAGTGCGCTGCTCAGTAACTAGTGAACACACAGTGCGCTGCTCAGTAACCAGTAAACACACAATGCGCTGCTCAGTAACCAGTAAACACACAGTGCGCTGCTCAGTAACTAGTAAACACACAGTGCGCTGCTCGGTAACCAGTAAACACACAGTGCGCTGCTTAGTAACCAGTAAACACACAGTGCGCTGCTTAGTAACCAGTAAACACACAGTGCGCTGCTCAGTAACCAGTAAACACACAGTGCGCTGCTCAGTAACCAGTAAACACACAATGCGCTGCTCAGTAACCAGTAAACACACAATTCGCAGCTCAGTAACCAGTAAACACACAGTGCGCTACTCAGTAACCAGTAAACACACAGTGCGCTGCTCAGTAACCAGTAAACACACAGTGCGCTGCTCAGTACTTCTTCTTTTCGCTACTCCTGTTATCGCAGTGTCAGGGCAGAACGAGATCTCTGGAACGTGTCAGTCTGTTCGCTTCGTGTAAAGTACTTGTCAATGTCTCTGATACTTCTACGGTCTATGATCTGCGTGGTATACCTCTGGATCTACAACCACTGTACATGTATAATATTGCTATCTGTGGCGCCCTTTCTCATGCCAGTCTTGTTACATGGCCAAACCATTTGATTTGTTTCCTACTATAAAGTTTATTACTGGTTCTGTGCCGACTCTCCTTCTGATGTAATCTTTCTTAAGTTGATACTTCCTTATTACACGTAACCTAGTACGTCAACATTTTATTTCTGTCACGACAAGCTTCCTTCTGTCTTCTGAAGACCGTGTCCATGTTTGACATTGATAGCATTCTGTTGGTAAGAATATTGTGATGAACGGTTTCTAAGTAGTGAAAGAGTTAAAGAACCCCGGAGAAGGTACATAATCTTCTGCTTCTTATCGCCCATGCTTAGTGGCACTGATAGTCCTGTCTACCCGCAGCCGTCTGTCTCGTGTACTTCAGTCAGTTCTGACACAGATGAACTTCAATACCATGATGTCAAACTGTTCAGCTTCTCCACTCCCAGTCCACCCCTGTCTCTTTTCCCCCTGTAACTTCCCTACGGTCATGATGTGCTTCAGTTTTCTTTTTCTTATGACATGACCAAATAATATAGATTGTCTCCTTCTCATATGGACAGTAAGTTTTCTTCGGTACATGCAATCAGACAGTTACTGGTCCCATAGGAACTAGAACTCTTCGCTTGCTGTTGAAGGTGGCGACGGAGCTCTCATGGGAGTGTCCAGGGTGTTACGGTGTCGATTCTTAATTCAACATTCTTCGGTACATAATCTAAGTCATGAATATTACCGTTAATACCTACATGATTCTTTATTTAACGGTAAAGGTTTCTTTTCATCTAAAAAAAAAAAAAAAAAAAAAAAAGGCCACAATTGTGCTTCTGTTTTCATTCTCACAGAGCTCTTACAAAAAATTATTATTGTATTTATCGATCGATTTGAACTTTTTAGATTTTCTTATTCTTCTTTTGTTTCGAACATAGTTCTCTTGTCTCTGGCAGCTCCAATTTTAAACTCGCCAACATAGTTCTCTTGTCTCTGGCAGCTCCAATTTTAAACTCGCCAACATAGTTCTCTTGTCTCTGGCAGCTCCAATTTTAAACTCGCCAACATAGTTCTCTTGTCTCTGGCAGCTCCAATTTTAAACTCGCTTTTCTTGCAATCTAGTCATGCTTGCAGATTCAGTTGTCTTTTGTTTCTCGCAAACGCTTCACAAAGTTAATGAATTTGTAACGTCAGGAAAAGAACTGAACGGCTGAAATCAGTATTCTTTCAGTTTAAAACTTCGGCCATTCAATTTAAAAAAAAATCCCTCCAAGAATTCGGGTGAAAGATTAACACCCATGACCCCAAAGATTAACACCATGGCCCCAAAGATTAACACCCACGACCCCAAATATTAACACACATGACCCCAAAGATTACCACCCATGACCCTAAAGATTAACACCCATGACCCTAAAGAATAACACCCATGACCCCAAAGATTAACACCCATTACCCCAACACTTTCGCATGCCCTTTATAAATCATTTGAGTACGGGAGCTAAAGCAACTCCCACCCAACTGTCACGTCTTTTACAATTCCCTGTAACTGTCTCGACATCGTTCCCGTTTCGTTCATCTACGTCTCATAACTCCTGTCTATACATATTTCTATGTATTGTCTCTTTTCTTTTGCTGTTTGCCTTCTAGTGTTTCCCGAGTGGGTTCACGGGCTTCATTTTGGACAACAAAGAACACACCCCTTCATTTCGGACAACAAAGAACACACCCCTTCATTTTGGACAACAAAGAACACACCCCTTCGTTTTGGACAACAAAGAACACACCCCTAGAAGAATGTTGTAGGAGGCGACTAATGAGGGGTTTCCTTCAACATCTGAGTGTATCAGCGTGAGAGGCAAGGGACCAGCAGACTGCATTGAAATACGCCAGATCTGTAAAACGGATGTGCACGCAAAACTGAAGTTTTGGGTCAAGACCAAATTCCAGGTGAGCATGAATAACCACAACGTTAAACCAGAGTTTACAGCTGGCGATTGCTAAGAAGAAGAAGAAGAAGAAGAAGAAGAAGAAGAAGAAGAAGAAGAAGAAGAAGAAGAAGAAGAAGAAGAAGAAGAAGAAGAAGAAGAAGAAGAAGAAGAAGAAGAAGAAGAAGAAGAAGAAGAAGAAGAAGAAGAAGAAGAAGAAGAAGAAGAAGAAGAAGAAGAAGAAGAAGAAGAAGAAGAAGAAGAAGAAAAACAAGAACAAGAAAAACAAGAACAAGAACAAGAGTTGAAGTGTAAAAAAAATTGTTGTCAGATTTTCTAAATGTGTGTCTCATCCAGTGTCAGCAACTTTCCTCACCGATTGTTTCACTGGAATTTGTCTTGTTCTCTCCCTATGCTTCACATAAATTGCCATTTGATATCAAGTAATTATTTCTATTCTATAATTTGTCCTATGCGTTCTTTGAACAGGTACACCCTAACAAATGGCAATGGCCTCATCGTTAAGATCATTAACTTTGGAGGTGTCATCACAGAAATACATGTCCCCGACAGAGAAGGGAAGCTAGATGATATCAGTTTGGGATTTGACACCTTGGCAGGTAATTTGAATGATTTTATATTAAACATTCAAATAGTATTTCCCGTTTGGTTCCGAGGCTCCATTTTGGAGAGCCCCTTTTTAGACACCCCCTCCCCCTGCCTCGAGAAAATATATTGGCTGTATATCCCGGGGTGACAGGCAACGAAAGAGTCGACAGGCTGGCCGTGTCTGCAGTGGTTGGTGGAGGAAGAGGTATGAACCGGCAGACAAACTAAATGAACTGCGTCCTAGAGACTTTGAGACAAAGTAGTCAGAGACAATGAGCCGCCACTTGGAAATAGGTAGTAAACGATGACTAGCGTGCAGAAACCGGGTTGTGGGGTGAAGAAAGAAGATATGCCAGTCAACTCCTACTGGAATGTTGAACATGGATGGAGATACAGACTTGGGAGTACGGATCACGAATAGATGGGACTGATATGCTAGGATGTCGATATGGACAATAAGTAACAGTTAAGTAATCTAAGTCTTGCTCCCCTCACTTGGAGATTCACAAATATGCTTGGAATCAAAGTGTTTCTGTCGAGATGCAGCCAAATGATCACCAGGTCCAGTGTCTCCAAGTTGTTTAAGAGTTAATTGCTTGAACTAAGGCAATGAAAGAGCTGATGCTTTATTTAAGAAAAAAAAAAAAAAAAAAACAAGGCAGCAGCAAACAACAAATCACCCCGCCACTGTCTTTTTTTTTTAAATCTCCAGAAATCCAAACACGTTTTAAGAGAAATTAAGAACAGGACTGGAAAACAAACACATGAAACAATGATAACAATGAAAAAGTGTTCATCGATGATCTGAACACAACAGACCAAATCAGAATTGTTCGTTTACGCAGACTCAGCAAACACCCAAATACATTAGGTGTGAATCTAACAGCTCTCCCTCAGTTTCTTCGTGCGGAACAGACTCCAGAACATGTCTTACAAGACTGTCCTCTCTTGGAGGAGCTGTGAAGCAACATGTGACTACACCCAGTAGACCTGACAAGTAAGCTTTGGGGAACCTAAGAGACATTGAGAGGACATCACAGTTTAGGGCACACAGTAGATAAGACGCATGATCAGAGATCGCAATATGGTGTGGCGTCGCAAGACATTCTGGTGGACAAACCATTTGATTTGCTGTCTTTGTTTTTAAATTTAGAACTGGTTTTGTGCCAGTATTTTTCTCTGATGACATCATTTCTGATTTCACCTCTTCTAGTTTATCAATTTTATCTATTGCTGACACATTTCTTATCTTAGGTCCACACTGTCACAACTCTGCCATATCAGTACAAAGAAATGGGACAATGATTGTGTAGATTACTTTACTTTTTGGTAAACTGAAATTGATTAGGATATCATCCTCCTCCTCATCACCCTGCTGAGCCTTATACACAGGGTGACCCGAAGACCTCACTGAAAGACTTCTGTATTGATCCTAAAACCTGGGAAATCGCTGCAGGTGACTGCTCATCCAGTCTCTTCATCGAGGAGTTGTTGCCCATGAAGCTGCTAGAACTGCCGCAGCAATTCAGAAAAGACAAGCCAGGAAAGCTACTGAAGAAAATCGCCACTCAGAAACTTTCAGTGCTAGAATTGGCTTTGTCAGCCATTTGGGCACACTCACAAAACCGAATCCAGTCACCATTGGATGAAAGGACAGATCATCATCCCCTGTGATGGATGAATAACAACAACAGGGTGACCATGTTATCTTGAGGGGAAAACGGTATATCCTATTAATATTTTGAGCAAAAAACAGGCGAACTATTATTTGGAGCTAAAAAGGAGACATCCCAAGTAAGTCAGCCCAACCTCACCCCCCCCCCATCTCCAACCCGCCCCTCCCAACCCCTTTTCCCCCTAGGTTAATTACTCGCTCGACAGTCGTATTAAAACCCGAACTATTGCTGTGAAGAAATAAACGAAACAACATTATCTCTAACTGGACAACATGGGGGAAAACATGCCACAATGATAACTCCCATCAACATGTTTCGGCATTACAAGTTGAAGTATCTAAACTATGAAATCTAATAAGGTTTACAGATTTAACTATAAGTGTGCCTTGTATTCTAGACTGATAAAACGGGACAATTTGAGTTGTCCCAAAGGGACTACACGCCTAAAAACAGGACTGTCCCTGTGAAAACGGGACGAATGGTCACCCTAATTTTACGTTACATAAAACTCATAGTTTATTCTTCAACTCCTTTCTATCCATTTGTTTTATTAGTGTATGCTATCTTTAAACGTGGAGGATTTGAATTGTTACATGACTAAATTCGATATGCTTCTGTAACTTTAGTTATTTTTTTCTTATTTTGTTGTCCAGCGTATGAAGACAATAACCCTCGCTTCGGAGCCTTGATTGGTCGGGTTGCTAATCGAATTGCTGGAGCACAGTTCACATTGGATGGCCACACATATAACCTGTTTGCTAACGATGGACCAAGCTGTATGCACGGAGGAAGAGTTGGCTTTGACAGGGTATATTTGAAATTTCCCTTATGAGACATTTTCTCCCCAATCGGTTTAATATAATTATTGTTACTATAAACTAATATAGGGGGACCATAATTTCTTCAGCTGAAAAGGGACATCTCAAGCAAGTGAGTTTATTTAGCACCCTCTTCCTCTCTTCTCCTTTTAAGGTCACCGGGGGAAATGGGTAATTACTTCCGGTCAAAATAAACGTTAGGCGGCGGCACTGTTCGAAACAGAGGCACATTTTTTGCTTCTGCCGGACGGTGGCCGATACATTTTTGCTCCATTTGTAGACTGGATATAGTTTCGTCGCCCAGCTTCTGAGTTGAATGCATGGCGTGACCCTGAGCGGAGCAAAGATGGGGTGACCCGTTTGCTATGAAGCTGAAACTAAGACTACCAGACTACCAGTCTCGCTCGACAATGGTATTAAACCAGAACCTTAGCCACCAACAAAATGCACTTTAACACAAACAAACATGCTAAAATGAAAATTTACATCAACACATTTAATGCATTAAAAAATATCCAAACCTACGAGATCTAATCAACGGTTATGACTATAAGTTTACGTTCTGTTCTCGAGCTATTCTTAGATTTTTGTAACCAGGGGACAATTGGCGTTTTTGTGTGTGTGTAATGACCTGACCTCCGGGACACACCTATCAACGAGACTGTGCCAGGTAAAACGGGACGTATGGTCAGTATAAACTAACATCAATACACATGAGGCAGACACGTAAGTGCTCAGTCTTTCCCAGCACATGTAAATGCACGTGTTTTGACTGCCTTGTAGTGTAGTAGTGTGAGGGAAAAATCAGTAAGTTACTTTCTCTGTCCATTTGTGTGTCAATACCGTGCCCACGACCGGAAACAAAGTATACTTAATTGCAAGGAAAACTTCTTTCTCCGACTTCCTTTAGGAAATTCAAAGTTTTACTAGCAGCAGAGAAGGTTACAGTCCTATCTTTTGTTATCGCACACAGTTCACCACATGTTCCCTAGTTTTTTTTTTTTTTTTTTTTTTTTAACTTCACTCTCAATTTCCCTTCTCCTTGTGGTTAAAAAAAATATATATGTTAAAAAATTTGTCAACCTCTATTTCTATGAAGTTTGAAGTTTGAACAACGGATCAACATCATGGCACACGGGTAGTAACCTATAAGTGCTCCGTTCTACTTCTAACTCCAGTGTGAGTCCGAAGTAGCTCATCCCAGTGCACGGGCTCCGTAGCACCGGCGAGGATCGTGAAATATTTTTGGTAGATTTCTAACTCCAAATTTTGTCTGGGCAGCGCCGTTAGGCTACTCTTTTTTATTTCCATCTGCTAATTGATTTTCTTGCGTACGCAACAATACGCACGGGCGTCCGATCTCACTATCCAGAGACCAGGGGAAATTATTAGAAGTTCACGTGAACAGAAAAAATCCCAACCTTTACCTGGGCCTGAACCCGGGACCTATAGCACTCGAGGCAGACACCATACTTGGAAACCACACAGACCCTCTTTATTTCTATGACTCCGTTGGTACCAGTGTGAAGACAATAATTACATTCTTCTCTGGTTTTCTCAGCGTGTGTCATATCCAATGCCAGCGTCTTTTCTTCACCTCTTGATTCACAGGAATTTGTTTAGCTCTCTCCTGAAGCTTCACATTAGTGGATCTATCATACCGTCGCTAGCCTTCTAGAAGTCGTTCCATCGTGGGATGCATTTTTTTTTAATTGTAAAGCCCCACCCTGGCTTTTGCCGGGGGGGGGGGGGGGGGGCTGAATATAGCCGGGCCATAAGTATGGCCTAGCCATAGATATGGCCTAAACGGCTGAAATGGGTGTCTGGGACCTCTCCACTGGGGATCCTCATCGGTATGGTAGCATTTTGTGTCACCTAATGTTTATCTCTTGTGTGATGTCCTGGTGGGGCACAACTACCTACCTACCTACCTACCTACCTACCTACCTACCTACCTACCTACCTACCTACCTACCTACCTACCTACCTACCTACCTACCTACCTACCTACCTACCTACCTACCTACCTACCTGCCTGCCTGCCTGCCTGCCTGCCTGCCTGCCTGCCTGCCTACCTACCTACCTGCCTGCCTGCCTGCCTGCCTGCCTACCTACCTACCTACCTACCTACCTACCTACCTACCTACCTACCTACCTACCTACCTACCTAGCTGCCTACCTACCTACCTACCTAAAACATACCTATCTACCTACCTACCTACCTACCTACCTACCTACCTACCTGCCTACATACCCATCTACCTACCTATCTACCTACCTACCTACCTACCTGCCTACATACCTATCATACAGTCGATTAATTCCCTCAGTGATGCTCAAACACCAATTAATAAATCTTAGTAGTTTATTAGTAATTATTTTAGTACCCCAGTTGCTAATTTATTAAAATTAAACTATAGGATAGAGGAGGGGCTGACCGAACGGTTAGAATGCTAGGCTCTCAAACAATAGACCCGGGTTTGAATTCCCGGTAAGGCCGGGGCTTTTTTTTTTCTGTCAGGGGCAAAATAAAACGTTACCTGCACAGTCGTGGCGACAGCACTTGACATATGGCTGTAAATTCTCAGGTTTATATACCCCCTCCCCCCTGCCTACACTGCAAAAGTGGTATAATAAATGCAGTAATCTGCAGTTTTATACTATAGGATGTAGTCCCTCTACAATCGAAGTTTTTAAATAATTGCGTACCGCGTCATGAGAACATTATGAAATTTGTGTTGTTACCAATATTCAGTCACCGCGAAAGAACTTATCAAAGGAACTTATCTTGTTTTCAGAAACTCTGGGAATCAGAGGTGAAGGACGACAAACTGGTCTTGACATATGTGAGCCCTGATGGAGAAGAAAACTTCCCAGGTGAGCTGACCCTCACTGTGGTGTACTCGCTGGACGACACTGATTCCTTGACCCTTGATTACACGGCAACAACCACCAAGAAAACCCCGATCAACTTTACCAACCACTCATACTTCAACCTGGCTGGCCAGGTAAGTTCAGAATGCAAGCCAGAAGTATTCAGTTAAGTTCACTCTGGGACGAAAATGTTGAGCGTGGGGATCGTCATGTGCTACTGTCTCGAACTTCAGTTTAGAAATAAAGTGACAGAAAATGAATTGATTGGCACTAAAAAAATCGAAGCTGTAGTTATCGTGTCGGGAATCGAACAAGTCACCTCCTGATGGAGTGTGCGCCTAGCTATGGAAACAAGTGCACTAAGAACATGGTCAACTAGGCACCCCTATATAGAAAGATCATTCTTTTTCTTAAAGTTCCAAATTGGTTGTCAATTCTTATGGCTGTTTCTTGTTGCCAGTATTTTGTTCCCTTTTTTTTCCCTTCAATATTTTCAGATCTTTACCATCAGTGTTTAAGGTTTCCAAAATTATAATAATTTCTCATGTTTCACTTTATCAAATGCTTTAGTGTGATCAATAAAGACCAAATACAGATCTTTATTCATATCAGTTATTCTTTCTGAAAGTGTTCTCAAGATAAATATGGCGTTGTTTGTGCCTTTACTTTCAACAAAACCACATTGCTCTTTTCCAATTTCTGTTTTCATTTTGCATCTTATTCTTCTCACGATAATTCTCATTAATATTTCAGTTACCTGACTCACTTATTGTTCGATGTTCTCCCCATTCTACTGCACCAGTTGTTTTTGGTAAAGGTATGAACAGAGATTTCAAAAGGTCATCGGGACACGTTTATTGTTATAAATATCATTGAAGAATTTTGTCAGAACTCCTAACCCCAGCTCACCAGCAGCATAACAGTGACAAATTTATTTTTAGACAAACATTTTACCTATGTGACCCAGAGAGCAATGCCAAAGACCCATATTTTTGTCATTCTGAGTTGCCACCCCCCCCTCCCCTTTCCCCCCCCATGTTTCTTAAAATTATTAAACAAAATTAAAAATTAATAAAATTAAAATAAGTTTCAAACAGGTCACGCACACGAAAAAAAAAAAAAATATCAAAATCATAACTCTATTTATGAAGCAAACCACAATTTCATTGCACACAAAATAAAAAGAAGTAATCCATAAAAATAAATGTGGCAAAAAATGGACTGCTCTACATCTCGCTAAACTTAAACAAAATGTTTAGCTTGACCTTTTCTTAATCCCTTGAGCAGACCATCATTTCTGCTCTAACTAATTGGAAATTCTAGTTTCTCAATTTCTAAAAAAAAAAAAAAAAGCTATTGTCATCAAGAAAACATCCAACTAAATGCTTTTCTGAGCATCTTTTCTTCTTCCCAGTCCTTCTAAAAAGTTGCTCAGGAAAAAAAGAACACTTGTAGTAATGCTTTTAATAATAGGGCTTCTCGGACATTTACTGGGCCGCCACAAAAAACCGGAAGAGCCAAACAGGTTTCCTGTGGCGAAAGGGTTTAAAAAATAATGGGACAGAAGAAGTTGGCCAGTGTATACAACGTGGAGAGTGATCAGTCCCATACGGTGAATTGCCTAGTAGCGAAAGTTAATGTTTAGTAATAATAACATTAAAAAAAAATTTAATCAGGGCAGTTAGACCTCTTTTTGTTAACGACGTTAGACATCTTTTTGGCCTAACTCTTACCACCCCAGTAAACTGCAGTCTCTGCTACTGACACCTTTACCTTATTTAATTTTGTTTTAACTTTCAGTCTTCAGGCCCAATTAATGATCACGTGGTCACTATAAATGCTGACAGTTTTCTGCCACTGGATCAGTATTCCATTCCCACAGGTGAGTCGAAACAGGTAGATTTGATTACATGATATATGTATATATATATATATATATATATATATATATATATATATATATATATATATATATATATATATATATATATATATATGCTAGCAATATGGTTGCTATGTCCGCAAAAACCATTCTGACCCATTTAACCAACATGAAGTTGAAAAGGAGAGTGACTTCCCTTTCCATTCATGTCTTGTCGGGCGCATGGTCTCTCCTATGGGAGTGTTATGATTTGGCTTCGTTATGCGTTCACTCAGCGTATATAAAGTTTATGTTTTTAAAGAGGTAGAAAATTATAGACAAGAGAAAAAGTAGGTGAGAAAGAACAAATAGTTTATGTTAGCGTTACAAAATCGATCACATTAAACAAAGGACGTTGCGGCGATTAGCTTTCATCAGCACATAAAGAACAACACAGTACACATACACAAATATGCTCTAACCATGAAGTGACTACACAGGACTCTAATGTACAAAATAAATGATAATCATCTGTGTCAAAGAGAACTGAGAACATATTGGAATCTGGCGAGTATTTAGTTTATTTCATTGGAACGCTAAGTCCTTACAAACCCGAGTGGATCAGTCACAGTTACGATGGTTTGGACATGTATGCAGAATATGAGAAAATCGGCCACCATGGCAGGTATGGGAGGCTAAGAACCAGGGAACCAGACCTCCAGGACGACCCAGGGTGCGCTGGGAAGACAACATCCGACAGTCCATAACTGACAGAGGACTGGAATGGAATAAAGCCAGAAAAAAAAACTGCTGATAGAAATGTCTGTCTATCTCTCTGGCAAACCTCTACACCCCAAATTAGAAGAGGAGCGACTAAGTAAGTCAGTAAGTAAAGTCATTGGGGTGGATTTATCAGGGGCTACCTTGTATAACATGTCATATGACATGAACACAGATGACACTTTGTTATAAAGGTAGATGTACATGTTAGAGGATCGACTACATTGCACATGGTTTTATCCCATTCGACTCAGTCTCACTCCGCAGACCGTCGGCAGACCTAGCGCGTCGGCAGAGCATGACCTCCGTAGCTCCAGCGACTATCCACAGGGATTTCCGTAAAAATTGCACTCGTGAACTGAACGGCGCCGCCGTAAAACGACCCCACGACCTTCAGGGCGCGAGGCTTCTTCTTCTTCTTCTGCGTTCGACATCACATTGAGTCCCGTCTGGGTCAAAAATAGGATTGTGCGTTTAAGGTCGCCACCGGTCCCCCATAGCTTCTCTCGCAATGTGGATCGCCTGGGCCAGATCCACAGTCTTTGCTGGGAGAGGTTAGGGCAGTACTGCAGTATGTGCTCAGGGGTCTGTCTTTCTACTCCACAAACACAGGCAGCAGATTCTTTTATGCCTATCCTGTACAGGTGTGCTCGAAGATCACAGTGTCCAGTTCGAAGTCTAAAAATTGATGTTTGTTCTTTCATGTTGAGTTTGTTTATGCTGTCACTCTCTGGTCTGTAATCTCTATTCTGCTTTCTCCACTCCCGCTTGAGAGACTGCTTTAGCGCTGTTTTGGTTTCATTGTAGCTGTGTGGTGGATGAGGTTGTGGACGAGCGCGAGGCAAACATCTTGACTACTTCGCCAGGGAGATCCCCACCCTTGTAACAAAAGAATGTCTAATGAAATAAATAGTGGTAAAGGCATAAGTGCAGGTAAAAATAAGATACATTTGTATAATCCATACCACTATTTATCACTTTGTTATTAAGAATGTCTGTAAACAGCCTTATGATGATTTCCCATTGTCAGGTGAAATCAAGGCGGTGACGGGAACTGAGCGGGATCTGCGGACACCAGTTCGTCTTGGTGATCGCCTGACCCAGGTGCCCGGTGGCATTGGTTTTGATAACAATTTCTGTCTGGACAACAATGGGAAGTTTGTCCTGGCAGCTAGGTTTGTGTCTATGATTACATGTCACAAGTGCATACAACATTACCTCTTTCATCCCGTAAAAACCATTAAAAAAATGACCTTTTTAAAATTGTGTTGACAATAAACACATTTCTCTCTCTCTCTCTCTCTCTCTCTCTTTCTTTGTCTCTCTCTCTCTCTCACTCTCTCTCTCTCTCTCTCTCTTGTTGTACCACACCAGGACATCACACAAGCGATACACACCCGGTGACACAAAGTACCGCCATGCGGATGAGGATCACCCGTGGAGAGGTCCCAGAAACCTCATTTAGTCGTTAGGCCATATTTATAGCCCCGCTATATTCAGGGCCCCCGGCAAAAGCCCGGGTGGGGCTTCAAATAACGAAACATTGCATCCCACATGGGGACGAGTAAAATAAAAAAGACTAATAAACACATCGTTATAATTACCGGAAATCGAACCATGAGAAACCAGAGAAAACGAAGAATAATCAAAAGTTAGATGGGTCTTGGTCAGTTTTTATTAAAAAAAAAACCCGGGGGTTGAAACATATGACCACCACGAAGGCAGGTAAGCATGCGAGTTGTTGCGCCACCGAGGCTCCCAGGTCACACACACACAAAATGGATTTTTCTTATTTTGAGTCGTTATTTTGTGCAAACGTGATTTTTTTTTTTTTCTATGTGAAGGCATGTAGTCACTAAATACAAATGGAGCTAACAAATATTTACTTTTCTTTGACCAGGAAAATGAGTTTTGGGTGACACAGCCACAGAAAAGAAAAAAATATGCGCCATCATAAAGTTATTATGACGTTATTATGACAATAAAATCATGTTTATTCACTCCGAATAATTTCTCGGATGAAAAAAAAAAATCGTTATGTAACTCTACTTTTGTTATCAAAGCACGACGATGGAGATGACTTGGATATGTTTGCAGAATGCCTTGTGACACTCTGGCGAAAAAAAAAAAAACATCTCTCCGGTGGGCAGCAGAGGGGGAATAGGAGACGTGGACGAGCTAAGGAAACCTGGGGAAGGACACTAGAACGGGAAATAAAGGAATGTAAACTGACATGGGATACCGTGGGAAGAAAAGCAGCAGACCGGCAGCAATGGAGATCACTTGTGAATGCCTTATGTGCCAACAGCGACAGGAAGGGGATATAGAATTCCATTTAATTCTTGCGTTAACCAAATTCCAATCTCTCTGTTATCTGACATTCTCTGCATACCAACCATGACAGTATGTTAGACCTAACAATCTAATTTAAATTGTTTTAAATTGACTATAAACAATTTGAATGGTTTTAAGATCACACTTTAGCAAATTTAAATGTTTTTTAAGTTGATGCTAACAAACTTCAATAGTTTTAGCTGATTACAAAAACATTTAAATGGTTTTGAATTTGATAACAAACTTGAATGGCTTAGTTAAATAACAAGCTTGAATGGCTTAGTTAAATAACAAACTTAAATGGCTTAGTTAAAAAACAAACTTGAATGGCTTAGTTAAATAACAAACTTGAAAAGCTTTAACTGACTACAACACATGTGAGTGGTTTTGAGTTGGATAATAAACTGGAATGGCTTAGTTAAAATAACAAACTTCAATGACTTTCAATGTTGTCTTAAGGCAGTTTTAATATTTTTCAGAGTGGATCACCCACCCACAGGACGATACTTGGAGGTGAGAACAACTGAACCAGGTATCCAGTTCTACACTGCTTACTACCTGACTGGTGTGAATGGCAAAAGAGGAGCCTCCTATCAGAAATTTGGGGCTTTTTGCCTGGAAGCTCAGCACTACCCTGACAGTGTACATCATGTAGGTGTAACTCTAGCATACCCCATACTGTAGTGCGGTGATTTCGGTCACAAGTGTTAGGGAAAGTTAAGACCGTTGTAACATGAATAGGGAGATACCTCACACGGAGAGCCAGCAGGCTATGTGCTAGTTTTACGAATCATTTTTCTTCCTTTTTTCCTTTCGTTCGCTTGAAATACATTATCTATATCTGCAGTGTTGTCTCTAGCATGAACTTCACTGTCTGTGGTGATTCACTCAGCGATCTGTAAAGTTAGGGTTGCACCGTTGTTTTTCTTTGATAAAAGTGTTGCCTTGATATGTTGTATTTCGGACAGTCTTAGAGGACGTGATCTGTAGTCACAGGTGCCACTCCCCAGGTAAATATGGCTGATTCGCCAATCTTAAACTGTGTGTACACGTGCCTGTGAAGTCGAGTGTGCCCTGTTCTAAGGCGTAGAATAATGACTTTTTACGGACCCTAACCCAAGACTCCTGCCACAAGTCTTCATTGTAAGCTATGGATAATGGATATAGGCCTAAACCGAGCTGGCAGGGGATCTTAGAGTTGGTGGGCCCTAGAGATGCAGTGTCCAGAAATCCCCTGGCTCTCGTGGGCTCGCCCAACATGCATGGATGACAACGTCTATCAAAACTCATTTAAAACGTGAGTGAAGCCCGCTGACCGAATATCCTACTATTTGACAAACATTGGTTGAAACGTGTGTCAACCCAAAGTCCAAAATTACTGATAAGGCTCAAATATCCGTCATTTAGATTTTGGGGCGTCTTAATCGGCTGATCAGCTACATCACAGCTGAGATGAGCAACATCTCCTGCAGGTGGTATCTCACGGCTCGATCCTACACCATAAAAGCAATCTTTTAGATGTGTGAACATTTAATATCTTTTGTGTGACATGCAAAGTTCAGAAGTCCGACCATCAGATGCACTAGTATATGAGAGACAAGATTCAAATCTCCGCTACCATTGGTTCAACTAGTCTGAGTGTCAGGACCAAAAGTCCGAGCATCAGATGCCCTAGTATATGAGAGACACGGTTCAAATCTCCGCTACCATTAGTTCAACTAGTCTGAGTGTCAGGACCAAAAGTCCGACCTTCAAATGCCCTACTGTCTGAGAGAATTGTTCAAATCTCCGCTACCATTGGTTCAACTCGTCTGAGTGTCAGGACCAAAAGTCCGACCTTCAAATGCCCTACTGTCTGAGAGAATTGTTCAAATCTCCGCTACCATTGGTTCAACTCGTCTGAGTGTCAGGACCAAAAGTCCGACCTTCAAATGCCCTACTGTCTGAGAGAATTGTTCAAATCTCCGCTACCATTGGTTCAACTCGTCTTAGTGTCAGGACCAAAAGTCCGACCTTCAAATGCCCTACTGTCTGAGAGAATAGTTCAAATCTCCGCTACCATTGGTTCAACTCGTCTTATTGTCAGGACCAAAAGTCCGACCTTCATATGCCCTACTGTCTGAGAGAATAGTTCAAATCTCCGCTACCATTAGTTCAACTAGTCTGAGTGTCAGGACCAAAAGTCCGACCTTCATATGCCCTACTGTCTGAAAGAATAGTTCAAATCTCCGCTACCATTAGTTCAACTAGTCTGAGTGTCAGGACCAAAAGTCCGACCTTCAAATGCCCTACTGTCTGAGAGAATTGTTTAAATCTCCGCTACCATTCATTTACTGGTGTTGGCGCAGATTAGAGGGAATTAAATGGTATGATTAGAATCACGAATGCTGCACTTTTTGAGTGAACTACACAAATTCTAGAGGTGAGGAAAAGATGTTGGAGCTGGATAGGACAAGCATTGAGAAAAAGTAAGATCAGTATGACTAGAAGGGTTTTGAACTAGAACCTCTAGGGGCATATAAATACAGATAAACCAAACATACTGAGACGACGAAAGGAGCTCGAGAATGAAGTTAAAAAGAAGAAGTCATGGGGGGGGGGGGGGAGAGGGGTGGGGGAGGGGTGTGGGTGGGAGGGGGTGGGGAGCTGTATGAAATGACAAAGGATAGAACGACTTGTTGAGAGTTAGTTGAGAGCCTGTGCTCCATTAATTGATAAAGGGCAAAAAAAAAAAAAAAAAAAAAAGAAGAAGAATGTTGGCGGTCCTGTATCTGTTAGCTGACAATTCTTTTAGCAGGCTGTTTCTTGTTAGTTACTGGTTATTGACTTTTATGTGTTTGCTATTTCAGCCCAGCTTTCCCAATTCCATTCTAAGCCCAGGCGAGACTTACACTCAGAAAACTGTCTACAAGTTCGGAGCCGCTTAAGTCTCCAGGATGCAGCACAAGGAGCAGTGTGGTTGCCACACATCTATGCTTAACACTTTCGCCTTGTAAAAGTCTTGAAGAAATGACATTTTTTTTTCTCACTTTCAAATTTAAATCATGAGAAATGCGTCGTTATAATACTATGAAACTCTACCCTGAGAAATAAGAAGAAATAGTAGTTGTAGTAGTACGTTTTTTCCCCACCAGGACATCACACAAGCGTTAAACACCCGATGACACAAAGTGCCACCATGCGGATGAGGATCACCCTTGGAGAGGTCACGGAAGCCGCGTTTAGCCATTAGACCATATTTATGGCCGGGTTATATTGCGGCCCCTGGCAAGAACCAGAGTGGGGCTTCAAAATAACGAAAAATTCATCCAAGAGGATGGTTAGTTGCGTATCCTTTACAGGACGTTGCAGAACCAACCCCATCAGCCCCTGTCTGTTGTGTGGTTTCACTAAGCAAATTTACGTCCAGTAGTTTGCCATTCGAGAGGATGACTGTGATTAAATAATAAGAAGAAGAAACGACGAAGCAAAATAAGTTTGCAGTCTTGGTCAGTTTTTGTAAAAATCCGGGTGGTTTAAAACTAAAACCAGTAAGCAGACAGACAAGCGTTATGGTCACTGCCATATCGCGGCCATTAAATCACTCAAACATTCATATTAATTTTTCTAATGTATTTATTTAAACGAAATTTATTTTTAAGCAAGGGAATTAGACACTAAATAAAAATGGAGTGGAGTAGACAATTAACTGCTTTCCTTCCCTTTGACTACGATAAACGTGGTTTTGTTGAATGAGACACTTGAAACAGTTATACAAGCAGTGACGTCATATTTGCTAATTTTTAGGGGATTTTTTTTTCACTCTAAATAATACATTTGTCTACGTAGAATTATCAAAATGTTTTGGCCAGATAAATCTCAAACACCAAACTACTTCAAGTCAGAAGCCAAGAAACTCTAGAGAGTATGATAGCAAAGATAAGATAGAAATGGCTTGGCCACCTCATGAGTATAAATCATGATATACCTGCCAAAAAAAATCTCTCATTTGGACATCAGAGACCAAAAAAAAAAAAAAAAAAAAAAAAAGAAGGCGCCCCGCCTCCCCCTTAAAAAAAGGCGCCCCGCCTTCCCCCTAAAAAAAGGCGCCCCGCCTCCCCCCCTCAAAAAAAGGCGCCCCGCCTTCCCCCTCAAAAAAAAAAAAAAAAAAAAAAAAAAAAAAGAAAGAAAACGCCCCGCCTCCCCCCTCAAAAAAAAAAAAAAAAAACACAAAAACCACGGAAAGTGAACTGACACGGAATACTGCACTGAAGTTTGCACAGGACAGGATGGCATGGGAAGTTGCTCTGAATCCTTACGTGCCACTAGGCATAAAGAAAACTGAACAAATAATACACCATTTATTTGTGCTAAACATAACCATACCCACCACATCTACGCACTTGGTAGTTGCAACCGGTACCAGAACTGTTATATAGATGTAGTGACCACTGACCACACACACTTCATGTCATCAAAAACCCGTAAATGCCAGGAAAATGTCTTTCATGGGACGACAATGTTAATGAGTAGAAAGAAGTGTGTCCAATAAACACGCCCTATTTGGTATATCTAGATTGATTGGTAAAATTATTATATTTTCCTAAATTAAGCAATGTAAAATACATGACATGCTGATAATTATTAAAGAAATAATTTAAATTATGCTGATGATGAATAGAAATTTTTTTCGCTAGGAGTACGGTCATTTTTCTTGTGCAATTAACATTTTATTTGATACATAAATGTAATCCTACATTTAAATAAATTATGCTGCGCAAATTATTTGTGTAAATCAATTTGAAACATGTACACCTTAGCACACTATTAAATGCTTATTATATAATCAGATGAAACAGTGTTTCAGTTCAGTATGAATAAATCTTTGTATGACAGGGACAAGCGTGGAGTCTCTCTTTCATCGTTATCGTTTTGTAACTCTGCGTGTAGTTGGATTACCAGTTGCTGTTGACTGACTGGTTAGCTCCCTCCACTTTGACAGTCAGATACAATAGGCTACATGGTTGCATGTATGAGGTCTGTTCAGTCAATCAGATTATGTATCCAGTCCTTTCTTCGTCTGTCTCTTTTCCTCTTTCCTCTACTGAGCCCTGCAGTATTGTTTTAGAGAGGCTGTTAGATCTTACAACATGTCCGTACCCTTGTATTTTCTACATTTTGACTGAGTTGCAAATGTGCTAGATTATTATACCGTGAACCTCGTTATTTGTGATGAAGTCTCTGTATATCATGCTAAGATGTTTGTCTGAAAGATCTTATTTCCAATGATTGTATGTTCTTTTCGTGTTCAGCTTTTAGGGCCCATCTCAAAGTGAGTTAAAAAAAAATGTTTAAGGACCCGTTTCCATGCACACTAGGCATATGGTGTGTGCCCCATATTTTTACCGATCAGCTAATGCTTGATGGATGTTATGCCCTCTTAGAGTTTTGATCTTTAGTTGATATTTGTATTGTACTAGAGAGTTCTCATTCCCTCTTTAAATACTGGCCATTATTTGATCTTTGCATGGCACTGGGAAGTTGTAAGTCCCTTTTTGAGTACATCTTGTCCTCGACTTTTGACCCATGCGAATTACGACTACATGCAATTATGACGACGACGAATAAATGCATAAATAAAAATAATAAATGAAGAAGGATAACTACACTGGTAGGGCCAAAAAGTTTCCGGAACTACAGCAGAAAACATATTATGTATTTTTTTTACACATTATGTACAATAATTACACCAAGACCGGCTCTAGCTGACGGGTCATGCTGCTGACGTCACCAGGTCGGGCTAAAGATGCCATCACGCAGCGGTTCTCAAACAAGAAATAAACTCTTTTCGACAGCGGCGAGGGGAGACAACTTACATTTTAACTTTTAAGTATCTACATACCTTCTTTAAGAATTTCACAATTTGTAGCAGACTTTTCTTGATTATTGCCGCGGCACTCCTAGCATTCGCTCCCGGCACCCCGGGGTCCCTCGGCACCCAGTTTGAGAACTGCTGCCTTAACGCATCGTTAGCCCAACCCGGTGACGTCGGCAGCATGGCCCGTCACCTGGAGCCGGTCGTGATTACACGTACATAGACTGCACTTTTTGTAATGCACAATTTTTATTATCCTCCCCTAGAATGAAAATAGTGTTGGAAAATTTACGTTCGACTTACGACTAGTTCGACTTACGACCTGTTATTCGGGAACATAATTTAGTCGTAAGTCGGGAAGACCTTGTACTGGTCATTGATTCATGTTTGTATGGCAGTGAAAATTGTTATGTTTTTTTTAAAAGTACTCATCCTCAATTATTCTTTGTACGACATTGAGAAGTGTTAATTGTTATATATATATATATATATATATATATATATATATATATATATATATATATATATATATATATATATATATATATATATATATATATTCTTATTTTCTTTCTTTTTTTTCTACCCCTGGAATGCCACACAGCGTCAGGACAGGGAGAGATCTCTGAAACGTGCCCTAATGTTCGATTCGTATGAAATACTTGTCAGTGTCTCTGATATCTCTGCGGTGCATGTTCTGCGTGGTCGACCTCTGGCTTAGATACCTCTGTTTCTGTAAAACATTGCTCACTCTTGTGCCCTGTTTGATGCTAATCTTCTTACATGGCCAAACCATTTGTTTGTTATCTACCTATTTAGCACTGGTTCAGTACTCCTCGTGATATCATCGTTCCTAAGTCGATATTTTCCTTAAAAAAAAAAAACTTTTTTAAGACACACACAAAAAAAGACCATTTTCTACACCTTCAGGGGTGATGCGGTCAATATCACATCGACCGCCTTTACTTCCAAGGACTGTACCTGGTACCCATTTAAGGCTGGTTCGATCTGAGAGTCAAGGTCATTTTTGAACAAGTCCGGCTCCATCAGGACCTGAACCCACGACCTTCCAATCCGCAGGCGATCCTCTAGCCGTTACAACATGACAGCTCTCATATATATATATATATATATATATATATATATATATATATATATATATATATATATATATATATATAAACACTTCGTGGCAACATCCATTCTCAGTTACGAACTTCATAAACCTTGTTGGTTACCCGAAGACAGTCTTAAAGTAAGTAAATTGTACCCCACTAGGACATCACACAGAGCGATAAACATCCGGTGACACAAAGTGCCACCATGCGGGTGAGTATCACCAGTGAAGAGGTCCCGGAATTCGCGTTCAACCGTTAAGTTATATTACGGCTCCCGGCAACAGCCAGTGTAGGGTTCAAAGTAACGAAAAAATTGCATCCCACATGGGAACGACTTATTTTGGAAGAAAAAAATCCGTCCCGTATTGGGGCGATAGTACTATAGATGAACAGTCATAAAATATATAATATTATAATATAATGAATAATTCGAAAACATTAGTGCTTATACAAATCTAAATTGACTGTTTCAATGCAAATATTGAAAGATAGCCAGTGAAAGCAAACCTTTATTCCCAATCCTGAAGTAGAAATACAACTGTTTATCACCACCCTAACACTCATAACAGTCCTTGGTGTTGGCACAATTTCAGACTGTTGTTGTTCCCCTAAATGTATAACTTTCCGTCTTTTTTAGGACGCAATTTTTAGTTTTTTTGAAGCCCTACTCTGGCTCTTGCCAGCGGCCGCAATATAGCCTGGCCATAAATATGGCCTAAAGGCTGAACGCGGTTTCTAGGACCTCTCCACTGTGATCCTCACCCGCATGGTGGCACTTTGTGTCATCGGGTGTAGATGTTGACAGTAATAAAGGGAAGGAACACTGCATTCGTCTCATGTCGAAGACAGGAGAGCTTGTTTTTCGTTTGTCTGTCGCGGGTGCCTCTAATTATGCAATCCTAAGAAGTTGATTGCGGTATCTGAAGTTTGTCCTGATGGACTGACATCCAGCATG